AAATGTTATCCATAATTTGTTATGATCCACACAGTTGAATGCCTTTTCATAGTCAGTAAAACACAGGTAAACATAATTTTTATATCTGTTGCTGTAAGAAAGATTTGCTTATAATTTTCCTTTTCCTACTGACAATATTTGGTTTTAATATTAACATTATATTAGTCTCATGATAAATTGGAGAGCATTCCTCTTTTAATTGTTTCTGGAATAATTTGCACAAAATAGGGACTAATTGTTCTTCAAAGTTTTGGTAGGTCTATCTTGTAAATTTCTTTAGGCCTAATGTTTTTATGAACGTGTAGATTTTAAATCATTGATTCATTAAAAAAAAATCATCATAGGTCTTTTCAGCATTTCTGTTGTATCTTAAGTTAGTTTTGTCAAGTTACATATATTTTTAAATTGTTTTGTCTAAATTTTCAAATTTATTGTTAAAGCTCTTCAGTGTTTTATTATTATTTTTCCATTTCTATTTTGTCTGTAATAACATGCCCGTATTCATAACTAAGGAGCACTGGTGGCACAGTGGTTAAAACAATCAATGGCTAATCAAAGGTTGTCTATTCAGAACCACCAGCCGATCCACAGGAGAAAAATGTGGCCATCTGCTTCTGTAGAGATTTATAGCCTTGGAAACCCTATGGGGTTGCTATGAGTTAGCATCGACTTGTTGGCAATGGGTGGTTTGATTTACTCATCACTAATGTTGAGTATTTATGTCTTTTTTCCACTTTATCAATTTTGTTGGAAGGTTGTCTACTTTCTTAGTCTTTTCAAAGTACTTACTTATTATAACTATATCTCTTTATCAGTCGTCCATTCTAAATTTCATTGCTTTTTCATGTCATTAATTTGTGTCTTTATTGCTTACTTTTTTCCTTCTACATTCTCTGGGTTTATTGTCTTTTTCCCCCAGCTTCTTGAGTTTAATTCTCATGTTCATTATTTTTCCTTTTCTAAAATAAATAAGGCTATAAAGTTCCATTTAAATACTACTTTGGCTACATCCCACATGTTTTGATATACCTTTTTCATTGTGGTAGAGTTATATATAAATTTCAATTTCTGTTATTGTTTTTTCTTTGATCCACAAATTTTTTTAGAAATGACTTTCTTTACAATCTAAGTAAATGGGATTTTTTGTTGTTTTTTTTCTTGTTACTGATTTCTAATTTTATATCATTATAGTCATAGAATGTTGTTCTCTATGGTATCAATTCTTTGGAATTTGTTGAGATTTTCTCGTGGATTGGTGTGGTCAATTTTTGTAAACGTTCTATGTGACTCAAAAAAGAATGTGTCAATTGCAAGGAGGTCCATATATCCATTAGGTCAAGGATTTTTTTAATTGTATGCTTCATAACTCAAGCTCTGTGGCTACAACTTGATCACTGCTCTCCATTCCCAAGAACACTGACAGTAATAATACTAAAAACAAATTTTCATTTCTCATTTGAGTCACTGAGAGATGAGCTTCCATTGCTTTCTACCAGAATCATTACAATGTAGCAAACAGGCAAATTTCTCAATGAAAGTTCAAGATATAGACTGAAGAACATCGGCTTTTATAGCCAGTTTTTTCATTTACTGCCTTTAAACATGTATGTGCTTGATCTCTTTCCTGACTGTTGATTAAGTTTCGGTCAGATTCCATGTAGTTCTTTTTATTTATTTGCAATTATTAAAAAGTCCAGTTCAGTCCAATTTAAAACTTTAGTCTCATATCCAACTTAAACATTCCTATTCCCTTTCCTCCCCCTACACAAAAAAACCTCCCAAAACAAACAAACAAACAAAAGAACAATTGCTGTGAAGCCTATTCTGATTCATGGCGACCCCACATGTATCAGAGTAGAACTGTGCTCCATAGGGTTTTCAATGCCTGATTTTCCGGAAGTAGATTGCCAGGCCTTTCTTCCAAGGTGCCTATGGGTGGACTCCAATTTCCAACATTTTAGTTAGCAGCTTGTTTGCATCACATAGGGACTATCCCCAATCCACCCAGTTTAGGTTTAACTTGTGGCTTGGGTACTGCAGTGGAGAAGGGAGTGTGGTCTCTTTTTACATTCCTCTGTGCTGTTACACATCTCCCTTCCCCCAATCAGGGACGGATTTCCCAGTAAGCAAGGTAAGCACGTGCTTAGGGCATCAACAATACAGGGCATGAGGTGTCCAAAGCAAAGACTCATAGATACCAGTCAGACAGGACCCAGGGAAAAGTGAATGCCACAGTGGAAGGAAACTGGCAGGGACTAAATGAAACTGATACCAGCTCCAGTGAGTAAGAATGTGCTGGCGAGAAATAAAGTTCAGGCAGGGTCATGAGGGCACCCACACACAAGGTTGTTTAATCTATGCGGCCCCTACCACTTCAACATCTTCGTTGACATCTGTCTCCTACAGTCCCCTCCCGTGTAATTGAAACTCCTTATCTCAGAAGGTCTCCTGGGAGTATACTGTTGCTTTCTAATAAACAAGAGGTGGGGGTGGGCTGAGTCTAACTCTTGCTACATTCACCTACTAAACATTTTATAATCCAGTTCATCTCATTCAGCTAAAATGGCATATGCCACTTACGCATTCAATCACTAATACTATAGTCGCTTTTAAAAAGAAGTTACATCATAGATGGCTAAGACACACACACATATATATACACGTATATATATATAACTCACGTATCCTGTTTGAATGTGTAAGTGGAGGAGGGGGCCGCACAGATTATCAGTGGTTAGAGCCCTTGCATGCATTAATCTGTCCCTGTCCCTAATGCTTCTGGGCCTTCTCCATTCCTTCTCAGACGGGGTTCTTTTGGAGGCTTCTCAAGGGGAATACTGTACTACACAGTTTGCTGACATAAGCCATGCATTCTGTGGCTGACTTCTTGGGCTCTGTTGGGTCCCATTATGCTGGCTCAAGCCTGATCACCTCCTGCAGTGTTTTCTTGGCTCATAGGAAAGTCATGCATCCTTGACACACTAAATACAGGTAGTCCCCAATTTACAACGTATTTGAGTTATGACGAACCACACTTACGACTGTTTTGTGCATTTTATCGTTAGCAATGTCTGCTATGTACAGTGTTGCAGTTTGTAATTTGCTGATGTTATCATTCTCAGATGTTCATTTGCAGATGTTCAATGCAATGATTAAAAAGATATTGATGATAGAAGGCAGTAATAATGACAACTAAAAAAAAAAGGAGGTATTCAATGTATATCAGAGTCGAATTAGGATACAGTCATCAGAATGGAACCCTGTCATAAGTCAGGGCCTACCTGTACTAGCAGTACCTTCTCTCCTTACTCTGTTTTGGGCCTCAAACTCTAGGGGACTATGTCAAGCTTTCCCCAGCACTCCCTCACTACCCTCTGTTTTGCCATTCTCAGTGGGCTTAGGAGATTGTATTGTTGCAGGATCTGGCTGGGAAGTGAGGTGCCAGATTTCTCCTCTTCTAGGCCCCCTAACTTCCACGAACAGTACTCTTGGATCTCTCCTCTCCAATCGGCTTGAGGGAAGCCAAAGTACTTCCTACTAGGTCCATAAACTTAATCTTCTGATTGTTTAGGCTCCATGACTTTGTGAGAGCAAGGGTCAAAGGAATAGTTTGGCCATCTCTAAGTAAAACTTTTTTTTTTTTGGTTCCCAAGTTTTATTCAAGGGCTAATACAGAGTATTCCAGATAAGTGAGTTTTAATCCTCATCTTCTTCCTCTTCTTCGTCCTGGTTAATCTGGAAGTAACGTAATTCATAACTTTCTTTGCTGTTAGCAACTACGCGCAACCAATCACGTAGATTATTCTTCTTCAAATATTTTTTGGTGAGATATTTCAAATACATTTTTGGAAAAAGGCACCTCCGAGGTTACAGTAATCTTGCTCTTGCTTCTTTCGATGGTTACAATCCCTCCGCCAATATTACCAGCTTTCCCATTAACTTTGATTCTTTCTTGAAGAAACTGCTCAAAATTGGCAGCATCCATGATTCCATCTTCTACAGGGTGGGTGCAGTCAAGCGTGAACTTCAGAACCTGCTTGTTTTTTTTTGCCCCCCTTCGCCACAAGCTTTTTCACAGGTGTCATGGCAGCAGCCGAGGCAGAAAGGTCTAAGTAAAACTTTTGAGGGTGATACATAGGGCCTATTGCCCTAGCTTTGGGGATTAAGCCAACTCTCTGAATCTAAAGGAAAATACCCTTTCCACCGACATTCCATTACACTTTCATTTTCTTCCTCTTGTTATAACTTATGTAATTATCTCACAGGATTGAAACATTCTTGGCCTTGGTACACCACGGCCTTCTAATGAGCTTAGCTGCTTCATATGTTTAGAGATGAAGGAAGCATTGTCACATGGCGAAGGGTCAAAAAGTCCCTGGTGGCCTCCTGCGGCAGAATACTAACCTCACACATCATTTAACCTCTGTAGACTGTATTTGTCTGTTCTTTAAAACAGGGAACTATCACTTGTCCCAAATAATTTGAATTTTGGGAAGTCTCAAATGGGATAATCAAAATCAAATTCGTTTACACAGTCTAAAGTTACAGACACATGAGATTATTTTTAAAATTGTATTTGGCATTGTGACTTTAAAATTATATAAATTGAGTAGTTTTATGAATATCTAAAATAAGGCTTATTGTTCCTGGAAATCACGGATAAAAATTATCCTACAACAAAAAGAGGCTGTGCGCCACTCTGCGCCCAGGGATCTATGTGCCCAATTACAACGCTCACACACCGGAGTGGTGGGAAGAAGGGATGAAGGAAGGCCCAGACCGCAGGGGCCGAGCCTGGAGCCGTCCACCAAGGTGGCAGCACCAGCATCCGCCACGTCCCTGCTACTAACCCGTCCCCGCGCGGCCTCCGCGCTCACCACCAATCCCGCGGCGCCGCCACCCACCCGGAGCAGCGGCGGGTCCCAGCAGCTCAGCGGACCTGGGGGCGGGCTGGGGCCTTGGGGCGGGGAGAGCTTGCTCCCCGCCTACTTCTGAGAGGGCGGGGAGGCTTCCCGGCTGCACCCTGCAGCGCGGGAATCCCACCTATCTGACTCCCCGCAGCGCCCGCTCCCGAGATGTGCCTTCACCTGTTCCTGCTGCTTGCGTTGTGTCAGGCGGGCCACATTGCCCGGGCGTGCAGCTACAGTTTGCGGGGAAGCTGGCAGATCCGCAACGCAAACGGCTCGCTAGAGTTGCCCGGGACGGTCCCCGGCTGCGTGCACAGCGCCTTGTTCCAGCAGGGCCTCATCCAGGTACTGTGTGCGACCGACCCGCCGCGACTCCGCGGTCCGCGTTCCTCTGGTGGTGAGAGGGGCCCGGGAACGGCCTGGCAGCTCCCGAGCGTGGGCTGTTCTCGTCGCTTTTGCACTAACTTACCCTTTGAATCTTCTGGTTTGTGGCGAGAAATGCCAGGGCAATTTTTTCCTGTTGGCGAAGAGCATCGCTGGGGTACGGGGCTCGATCGAGACTGACTGACCCACGCTGGAGCGTCAGTAATTCTGGAAGGCGGAAGTTTAGGTAGGAAAAACAGTATTTCTACCAGCAGTTTCGTTATTGCTGTAGTTCTTGACTGAAGCATGTATGCAAAGGACATAGGACAAGGACAAGGCATAAGGTAAGGAATTACTGTCTGGACTATTGCTAAGTAAGGGTTAATATCCAATAACGCCTGAGGGTTTCATTTTCTCTTTTAAGCCACAGGAAGTGGGGTTTTGGACTGATACTGCACATAGGTTGAGAATGAGAACGACAAGAGTAAAGTTGGGATTGGCAGTGCTAAGTAAAGGCTAAATAATATTTAAAGCTGACTGGAATGTGAAGAAAGGTGCTGTTTCCTTTCAGGATGTGTGTGTGTGTGTGTGTGTCCTTCAATTTCTAGATTCCTGAGGCATGGTGAGCAGCCGCTTGTGGAGAATACTTTCCTGTTTGGCAACCTGTGCGCATGGGTTTGCAGACTTCTATCTTCCACCGCTGCTGCGGTTCCGCTTGCTGCACGTCGTTTTCCATTCTTTATAGTGTTTTTCATGGAACAAGATGTACATGATAAATGGTTTGCATGCATTAACCCAACCATCGTAACAACTCTATGGAATGGGTGTTCTTATCTGGATTTTATGGGTGATACAGAGTTATGGAAGGAGGACTGGTGAAGCTCTCAGCTGCTAACAAAGGGTTTGTGGTTCGAACCCAACCTTTGGCAGCTCTGTGGGAGAAAAACCTGGCGATCTGTTCTCTAAAAATTCAGAAGACCCACTGCTGTCGAGTGAAATCTTTATGTAAGCAGACTGCCACATCTTTCTCCCACTCAACGGTTGGTGGGTTGGAAGCACTGACCTTTTGGTTAACCACTGTGCTACTTCTCCCTGAAGATTACTGCTTAGAAAACCCTATGGAGTAGTTCTGCTCTGTCACATGGGGTCACTATGGGTGGAAAACAGACTGGACCGCCCCTGACAACAGCATAACAACATGGAGTTAGGAAGCCAAAGAAGATACAAAATTTGTCCAAGATCACATAGCAACTAAGTGGCAGAAATGGAATTCTAACACAGATCTGCCTGGCTCCAAAACCTGCATTCTTAACTACTATGCTACATTTTTGCTGATTTAAAAAAAAAAAAAAAATTTATTGCACTTTAGGTGAAGGTTTACAGAACAAATATTTTCTCATTAAACAGTCAGTACAGTACACATATTGTTTTATGACATTGGTTAACAACCCCACGACATGTCAACACGCTCCCTTCTTGGCCTTGGAGGACTTTTTTTTTTTTTTTGGTGAAAATATACATAGCCAAAGATACACCATTTCAAAAATTTCTACATGTTTACAATTCAGTGACGTAGATTATGTTCTTCCAGTTGTGCTGCTATTCTCACTTTAGATGAAGGTTTACAGAACAAAATAGTTTCTCATTAAACAGTTAGTACACATATTGCCCTATGACAATGGTTAAGAACCCCACTACATGATTTTGCTGATTTTTTGAAAACTCATGCATTTTTGAAGCATTGTGGTTGACTGTCAGGAGTAGTGTTCTAAGTTTACTTAAATGACGGGACAGTCTACTAGGTTTATACAAAATTTCTGAACTGATGCTCTTTACTTTTTCCCCCCAAGAGTACGTATCTGAAAGGAAGTGAATGCTGGAAGTGACATTGATACTGTTTGATTTAGTTTTTTAAGTAAATTCTCAAACTTAAGTATTTCAACTGTGTTTAGTTAACAAACTACTTGTGACATAGACCACACTGACCTTGGCACAGTGAGGCTTTGAGAGTGCCTGTGTTTATTTTGCAGGGTCTCTCCTTGCCTCTGGGTCCCTGAGTGGTGCAAATGGTTTGCATTTGACTACTAACCTAACGGTTGGTGGTCAAACCCGCTCAGCAGTACTGCGGAAAAAGGCGTGGCTATCTGTTTCCTTAAAGATTACAGCCAAGAAAACCCTATGGAGCAGTCCTACTCTGAAACATATTGCGTTGCCATGAATTGGAATCAGCTTGATAGCAACGGGTTTGGTTTTTTTTTTTCTCCTTGCCTCATTTTACTGACAGAATTAAGTCAATGGGAAATAATTAATGGCTTTAACAAAACTGAACATTGACCCATGTTACAGGGCTAAGATGTTTGGTTACTACTTAATGAGAATGAGGCTGCTCACAGTATGAAATAACTAACTTTTCCTCGTTGGGAATAATTTATAATGTCTATTATAATCTCTTGGCAAAGTCTTAGAGAAAGTTTGTTTCAGTGAGGTGGATACGGGTCTTCAATTGTGTTTGGATGGGAGAGGAGGGAGACCTTTTGAGGATTAGGGAAAACCAGGCCTATTGAAAATAATCATTAACATCAATATCATTATTGAGTATTATGATGTTGTTTCTTGTTATTCTAGCTGCTTTGTTACAACATTCCTTTCGGGTTCTGATCTTAGGAAATATTTGACAGTTTAGACCAGATACTGGGCAAAATACCGTGTTTACGTGAGAACTTGGAATAAATTTTGTTAAAGTCATTCTTTTATTCATTCATTCACCTAGTGAATTATCGTATAAGTATTTATGGAATGTATTATGGAATACTTACCTACAGTGTAGCAGACACTATTTTAAGTGCTTGAAATGGAGTGGCAAAGAAAACAGTCTTTTCTCCAATGGACATTCTAGTGGAGGAGATAGACAATAAACAAATTAATAGATAATATAATGACTGGTGGTGCCCTGAAGAAAAATAAAAGAAGGTAAAGGAAGAGAGAGTGCAGGCTGCTTGGAAAGTGTTGTTATTAAAGAAGAATGGTTACAGATAGCCTTTTAGATAAGGTGGCTTTTAAGCAGAGATCTGTTTGATAAAGTGACTTTTAAGCAGATGAGCATTCCCTCCAGAGGGGAGACAAAGAGGACTGTAGAGTGAGGACAGGCCCTGAGGTAGGAACATGCTTAACAATTTCCAGGAATTGTAAGGAGGCCAGTCCAGCTGGAGCCCTGTGAGCCAGTCAGGAGGTAGATGAGGCCAAGTAGGAGACTAGGGCAGATCATGCAGGGCTTGTGAGCTGTGAGCAATGCTTTGGATTTTATTCCACATGTGATGGGAAGCTGTTGGGGATTTTGAGTTTAGAGTGGCATGATTAGGTTTGCCTTTTAAAAAGGTTACTCTGGCTGTTGTGTGAAGACTACTGTGGCACAAGAATGGAAGCGTGAGACCAGCTAGGGGACTATTGCAGTTGTGCAGGCAAGAGATGATTTCTGGCTCGGACCAGGGTACAAGTTGCCATCACATGGATTCTGTTTCATGGTGACCCCACGTGTATCAGAGTAAAACTGTGCTCCATAGGGTTTTCAATGGCTGATTTTTCAGAAATATAGTTAGCCAGGCCTTTCTTCTTAAGCATCTCTGGGTAGACTTGAACCTCCAACTTTTCAGTTAGCAGCTGAGCACATTAACTATTTGCACTACCCAGGAATTTACGGGTATTAGCAGTGAAGTGATGACACATGGTTGTGAAAACGTAGAATCAACAGGGTTTGTTGAGTTGGATTTGTTGATGGATTGGGTGTGAAGTGTCAAGAAAGAGGAGTCAAGTGAGGCTTCAGGGTTTTCAGTTGACTAAATGGAGTTTGTATTTACTGAAAGGCTATGTTTCATAGGTGACTGTTCAGGTTTTCTATACAGGATCAAAACCTTAGGTGTCTTGGAAAGCCTTTTGAGTTTCCTGCTAATGGTTGTCACTCATTCTACTTACTATTAGGAAGACGTTGTCATTAGTTGCTCTCCAGTTGGTTCTGACTCATGGAGACCAACATGGCAGCCGACTCATGGTGACCCTGTGTGTGCAGAGTAGAACTGCTCCTTAGCGTTTTCAAGGCTGTGACCCTTCAGAAGCAGATTTTCAAGCCTGTCATCTGAGGCATCTCTGAGTATGTTCAAATGTTTCGTCTAATAGTTGAGTGCTTAACCATTTGCGCCACCCTGAGACTGCCAGCCTTAGGAATAAAAAAGAAATGAGTATTTTGTAGGATGTCACATTCTAGTGAGACAGAAAACCTAATTACCATGTGATGTGATAAGTGCTTAGACAAGGGGACTCTTGTTGGGAATGTTCTTAGATTTTCCTGTGCAAGTCCTCACTTGCATAAGTTCTGAAAGCTTTATTATTTTTCTTAAACATATTCTCAGTGTGCCAAAATTAGAAAATATATGGTAGATAAGAAGGAAGAAACATTGGAAATCTCGCTTCCAGAGATAGCCACTATTAAAATTTCGAAATACAGGATATTCATTGAGGATTTTTCTATGCATACACATTTATAATAAGTCTTAAAATATACAGGTTAAAAAATTTTTAATGCTTAACAATGTTTTGTGACCAAAATAATATTCGTGACCATTTTACATGTAGTAAACATATAAACATAAGCCATGTTTAACGGCTCTTTTTTATTCCATTGTATACACTTACCATCATTTATAATCAATCCCGTATTGCTGGATCATGCACTAAATTCCCATATATTGATATACTTTTATTATTCCTTATCTTTTAATCTTTTTTAAAAAGAGTTATAAAAGTTTATTGCTTATTGTCCAAAAATAGATGCAGAAAAAATATAACAAAGGAAAAAACCACACACATAATCCTAGGAAGCAGAGAGAACCATGGTAAAAATTTTACTGTATGACTTTCCAGATTTTTCCTACTACACACAAAGAAATACAGTAATATAAAAATGAAATAATTCCCTAAGATGGTTTTCT